AACACAGGTGAAACACATTAGGGCGGGGCAGACAATTACACTGGAGGGAAAACACAAGAAAAAGACAGGAAGTAACTAACATAAGACACACAAGTGAAGTGATTTCAAAATAAAACAGGAAATGACTCAAAAGTGCAAACCAAGAGTCCAACAAAGTCCAAAAGTGTTCAAACATACTGTCCATCAGGGCAACCTATGACAAACTGTCAGTATAGTACATATGTCTGTTTTTATATTTGTTCAAGTTATACTTTTTTCCAACTATCAGCAATGACCTTTATTTCATACACAATTACCCTGCCTTGCAATAAGAATAAGAATGGCATGCATAATCTGAAAAAAGAAAAAAACAGGTTGATTGTGGTATTATGATTCTGCAGTTGAATGACTCTACATATTGTTTTTGAAGGAAATTGAGGGAGGAAAAAGAAGGTTGTCTTAAGGGGAAAACATTCAAAAACAAAACAAAATTGTTAGAAAAAATGTGAACTGTCATGAAGTAATGATGCTAATAACAATGTTAAGATGTCAGATTAATATGAATGCATTTACAGCATGGAGGGAAATCTTGATCTCGAGTTCTCTCCTGCTTCTCTTAATATGATACTCACAAACTTGGCAGCAACACAGTCACAGTCAGTAAATGTGAACTTTGACCTGCAGTTTGACTGTTTGCTACACCTCTGAGGGAGGTGAAAGTTCTGTTTGAAGATAAAAAAAATCTAAAAAATTAAATTCACATTCAAGGCTTTCTTCAATTAATTGTTAATAATCTTATATACATTAAACCAAGAACCATGGCTCTAAAATGTCTTCATGTTCCCTGCTAAATGCTACTGATAAAATACGTAGTGACTGACACACATTTTCTGATCTCCCTCCTTATCAGCCCAGATTATTTGTCTGTGTCTTTTATTACAAATTCCACCAGTTTTCTCACACCTCTATGGCTAAGCTTTGGTCAGGTTTAGGCACAGACACAACTAGTCTAAAATGACTATGTTGTTAAGGTTAGATGACCTTTGTCATTATGGTTCAAAGAAACAAATGTTGAAAGCCCCAGTGGCTGAATGGTTACAGCACATGCCAAATAAGGGCAATAAGTCCTCAATTCTTATCTTGCTGGACCTATCAGCAGCCTTTGATACAGTGAACCACCACATCCTGCTATCTCTACTCTCCAACATGGGCATCTTGGGCAAAGCACTTTCTTGGTTTGAATCCTATCTCACTGGTTGCTCTTTCAGTGTGTCATGGCAAGGACAAATGTCCTTATCCTATCTCCACTGGAGTACCTCAAGGATCGGTACCGGGACCCCTCCTCTTTGCAATATACACCACCTCCTTGGGTCCAAATATCTGCTCACATGGCTTCTCATACCACTGCTAGGCTAATGACACCCAGCTATACCTGTTGTTCCCACCAGACGTCCCCATGGTCTCTGTTCGGACTTCAGCCTGTCTCTCTGATATATCCACATGGATGAAGGAACGCCACATTCAACTTAACCTCTCTACCTGGGTGTCACGTTTGATGACCTTCCTTCTCTGACCATGTAGCTTCTGTCTCACGGTGCCACTTCGCTCTATACAACATCAGAAAAATCAGGCCTTACTTGACTCAGTACACCGCCCAGCTCTGTGAGTGGAAGATTAACCTGTTGGCTTAGTCCATAGTGAAACAGATGAGTTTACTAACATCATTACTGAATATCTTCACAGAAAAGAGAGTGTTTACATTTCACTCTTTTAGCCGAAATTGAATCAATGCAGACAAACTTTCGGCAGCCCTGTCCCCTAATCCCCGGTCAGACCAACAAACCAGTCCTGCTCCCTGCTGGAGAAGGAGGTGAGTAGCACTGTGTTGAGTGGCATGTCAGTTGGAAGAATTGTGTTAGATTCCTTTCAATGATAAGAATTCAAACACTATGATTATTTTTCCACATACAGATCATTATATGAGACAAAAACATTCAGTAGTCTGGACAGTTGAAGCACTGAGTAACTCAGTCTGTACTGAAGCTAATGTTAAAATAATACCTTCAGTTCATACGGCCAAAGTACAGTATGTCTCCATGGGTTTGATGCAGACTGAAATACGGCCGTTTACTGACATCTAGTGGTGGTGATATAGAACTGCAGGTAGTTTGGGTCAATACTTTGCAGGATTCAGTGCTACTTAATGTTTTCTGTAATGCATGCAGTTAATTTAAGTCAAATGAAATTTTGATTATGATGATGAAATTGATATTGAAATCATTTTACCATTAAAATTACATTCAAACTGAAAAAATGGCACATTTCTTATAGAGGGTATCAGTCTTGCATGAAATAATGAATTATACAAAATGTTGCATGCATGTTTGTACAGTATTATATTTTCAATGATGTGATGTATTTTGATATCAATGTAATATCTTTTAATGGGGGCAAAATCTCTGGCTGGAGCAGAGGGATACACCCAGGTTGTCATATGTACAGTATATTGGAACTCTGGCAATAAACCTACACAAGACTGCCAGGACAAATATTTTGTGTAGATACCAATGTGTATATACAGTATATGCTGAAAAGAAAAAGAATATTTAAAAGGGAAATATCAAAGATATGTTTGGGGGTAATTTAAGGACCATTAAATTTACATTTATTTATATGATGAAGGGAAAGCCTTTGAGAATAAATAAAAAAAACACTTGATGTTCGACTTGAGACAAGAGACACTAGGCTGCATGTAACTACATACTATTACATCATTTGTCCACCAGAGAGCACTGACAAGATTTATTTAAATTGTAAATGGACAAAAAACTATTTAAAAAACCCACTCAAATATTTACAGAACACAATCATTTCTTCTCACCTGAAATCTGATTTTATATGACCAAGAGAAGAAGAGAGAAAAGGAGTTTTTAAAGTCTGCCACATGTCACCGATGCGTCAATAAAATGATGGAAAATGGCTTCAGAGCCACTATCACTGGCAGTTACATGTAATTAACATCCATAACTATATGTGCAACCACCAGCACTGTGCTTTGAGTTGTAACATCTTTTAAAGTTATTAAAACAATATAGGACAACTGATGCGGACAAACAGCAGAAACAGGAACAGATTAAAAAACAAACTATAATATCCCTGTGGTTTGAAGGACTGTAAGGAGGTGTACGCTGATTTCCAGGTAATGTGATGAACGCTGTGGGTGATCAGTCAGAAACAATGAAATCTTTTACCTCAACAGATAATATACTGTAAACCATATGCACTACACAGGAACCAGGTACCTGGTATGCTAAAAGGGCTCACACCTGAACTCCTACACTGTACAGAAGCTCCTGATCAAGCTAGGCCCCTCCCCCTTCTCCTCAGGCAGGTCCTCCTCCAGACCTGCTTATCACAACACAAACACATTGAAAGAACATATCTTCAGTGTAGTTCTACATAAAATCATAATGATTTACAGTACTGACTGAATATTTAGAGGATGACACATATTTTTATGTTGTAATTGTTCATGTGTGTTTTGTCTTGTTGTTTCATGGTTTCCAGTTTTTCTTTTAGATTTTTTATTTCTTCCTCCAATTCAGAATAATCACGTGTTTGTTTCTCATCAAGCTGCTGCGTTTCTTTGTGTGTCATTCTTCTCATTTGTTCTTTCATCTGTTTTGTTTCCATGAGTTGTTGATATCTTTGTTCCATTCCAGATATCTCTGCTTGTTCTCTTCTCCTCTTTTCTTCATTGATTCTTTCACACTCTTCTTTTCTGTGATTCTCTCTCATCATGTTTCCCATTTTCTTTCGTATTTCTTCCTTTGAGAATCGGAACAACTCAGCGTTGTAGCAGCTGTCACCAGTTTTCTGCAGCATTGTTTCAATCTTGGAGAACAGCTGACTGACTTGTGTGTGGTTTGTTTTGTCTTTGTTATTGAAGACGTGGTATCTCCCTCCACACTCTTCCATCAGGTGTTTAACAAAGTCAACACACTCTTCTTCTATGTAACTTTCAACTGACTGATTGTTCAGGTTATCTCCTCTGGTGAACAGAACGATGGTAAAATCTTTAGACTTTTGGCCGAAGTACTTCTTGATCAGTTCTACTGTGACTTCTTCCTCTTGTGTAAATCGGCCGATCTGCAGCACCAGTAAGAACACATGAGGTCCAGGAGACAACATGGTGATACAATTCACAATCTCCTGATGGATTTCATCCTCAGAGAGAGTTGTATCAAACAAGCCGGGGGTGTCGACCACAGCAACAGACCGTCCATCAATCTCTCCTGATGCTTTCTGGCAACTCTTGGTCACAGACCTCTGGCTGGCTCTGGATTTAAAAAGTTCTTCTCCTAAAATGGTGTTTCCAGCTGCACTCTTCCCATTACCAGTCTTCCCAAGCAGCACCATCCTGAGAGGCTCATCAGCATGTCGCATCATGTTAAACTTTGGTCCTGAGCCTCTGGCACAGACACCGGCTGGCAGGACTTCAGACAGCAGAGACACTGACTCGTCTCCTTCATAAGAAAAACAAAATCTGATTATTATCTATCTGCCTTCTCAAAGTGTGATGGTAATGGAAATACATTCTGGAAACTAGTAAAACTCATAACCACAACAATAAAAGTGACTTGGTTGTAGCTCTTTATAACCATTTCATTGCATCATATGACATGTCTGATAACATATCCATACCCACTCTCCTAGTCCTCACATCATCATTAATAGATTTTCATTTCTCACACCTGTCACATATTCACAGGTATACAATCAAGTGATAAATATAATGAAGTCCCCTGGTGAACACATCTTTGAGCTACAGATCCTACACCTCAGTGCTCATGTCATCACCTGTACACATTTTTAGTTAAACCTTTACTTCAAGAAAAATCTCCTTGATATTGAGGAATGCTCAGGTGACATTTGTGACCTCAACAACTATGAACTCTCAGCCTATAGTGAAGCCGACCTGTCTGTCTAAAACACTAGAATCACGAGTCCACTCACAACTAGATAAACTCTTGTTGTGATCTTGTGTTTATGTAACTGGTTCTCAGGTCAGAACTTTGGTTATTTATCAGAATATTTAGGTTATTGTCTCTTAAATGAAAACATGTAGTGGTCAGACACCAGTTGTGTTGTAACGATACAGACTCATCTGGACTTCAGATACTTCAGACACAGGCTGTAATTTTCCGACAAGGTTTGATGTTAAAGCTGCTTTAACTTTTACAACAACAGATAATTCAGTCTTAATCCAGGTACATTTAGTACGTTCGACCACATTTAATAAGTAATAGTTTGGGCTTGACTTAGACTACAAGAACAGTTAGTTTGAAGATGTGAATTAATTCCCAGATGACACTGTTCACCCTACAACTATTAACACAGACCTCTATGGGACTGATAAACACCTGTAGTTTACTTACTTTGAGTGGTTTTGGTATTTTCCATTCTTGGTTTCAGCCCTATAAAAATATAAAGCACAAAATAAATCAATAACCTCAGTGATGAATATATAGCGCTGTACAGTCATTTGAGTTAATTAATAACTTTCCTCCACATCATCATCATCATTAAATTATT